CCCTCTCCACACTCCAGACCCTCCCACCACTCTCCACCCACTCTGACCCGCCCACCCCTCTCTACCTACTCTTGACCCATCCCCACCTCTCAACAAACCATGAGGCCTGGCCCATCCCCACCTCTCTACAAACCACAAGTGCTGGCCGAGACCTCTCGTAGCCGGGAAATCTCTCACACGGTAGCAGAGAGGTCTCTGGCGTGCGGGACCTGCACTCACTGTCATTGTCCATGAACACCTGAGGGTCATACGTGAAGCCACTTTCCTCCAGGCTGTTCCCACAACTGTTGTGCTCCCCCGGCTTTTGAAGGTTGATGACGGAGTTTATCCCATGCCTGCGGGTGAACGAGAGAGAGAAAGAGAGAGAGAGAGAGAGAGTGAGCGAAGGCGTGTGTGGTGGGACGTGTGATGTGGACACCTGCCGGGCGTGCATACTGTGCTAGCACGCGCTGGCACCTCATCAGAGATGTTGATTGCAGGTGTTCATCTCACACACAAGACGCCAATACTTTTTAATAAATGCAGCGGGACGTATACATCGTTGCTGCTGCGTAGGCACGACAACGTCATCAATATGTTTCCCGTTACTACTTTTTATAAGTTCATGTCATTATTTTGTATATATACAATACATACACATATGCAGATGTATTCGTAATAACTGAGATTATTATAAAATTATATGTGTATATATATTTAATTATGTATTTATTTATATATTTACAATTCATACTTTAAACTTACCTTTTGAATTGTTCAATAATGCCATACTTCTTCATTGCCATTGTACTAGGCCTTGCCATGGCGAGGATATCGCCCGTGACCCTGCAAGCACAAGTGCAGGTCACGTGGAATGAAGGCGCATGAGCGTAGATCAGAAATGCTGACACGCGTGTTTCTACAGACTATTCAATCAGCAAACAACATACGTACCCAAGCATCGACGTAATCATTTTAGCAATTAGTTAAGTGTATAGAATATGGAATTTACCTGCAGCAAATTGTTATTACATTCCGCAATGATTGATTGAATTACTCACAGCAGTTAACTTATTCCATGCTGAGAGCGAAATTCGTGTCGTGGGACCCCAGCTCACTGCTGCCGCTGATGATGATTATGAAGGTGCCGATGATGTTGATGATTAGGATGTTTCTGTTGCTGTTGTTGCTGCTGCTGCTGCTACTACTACTATTTCTACTATTTCTAGCAGTATTAGTACTGCTTCTACTGTTGCTGCTTCTATTGTTGCTAGTACTATATATGGTACTTCTATATATAGTACTATATATGGTACTTCAACAATTTGTCTCATGTTTTCCAATTAATGACTTAATCATAGTTCACCGTAACCCTTCAGATTCATTGAAAACCTATACCGACATTGATTTGTCATATTATTGTTATGTAAATGTTGTCGTTAGAATCAGCTTAACTGTGAACGTAGCACGTACCGTACGTAACCCCGCACACAGACACACATCAAATTATGTTTGCCCATGCAAAATGTTGCACGAAATAGAAAGCACTACTCTTTGTTACATGCAAAGGTTTTGTTGTTTTAACGTTTGTATAGAACCGTGCACGTGACAATGTCAGAACTTCACAGAGCAATCAATTGCCTACATCATGTAACATTACGCAAGCGCAAATGTTAGCATAGAACAGTGTGCTTGCCGCCTACTACCACACACGCACACACGCACGCGAGGGCATGAGGACAAAGGATTGACGCCTGTCCACCATCCTTCCCACACCCTTATTCCCCCCACCCCCAATTACAGATATTGATCATAGCCATGCGATAGAAATCCGTTGGGGGCAGGTGTAGTGGAATGACGCAGACACGTTATAGCATTCATATTAGAATGTAAGGGTGGGACGACTCATTGACGCTGAGAGGGTCTATGTCCCCCAGAGTACTATCGGAGGGTACCCTGGGTACGGTTCGATACATCGGAACGTACCCTGGTACTATCTAATATGCCGGACCGTACCTCGCCTACTCCACTAACAAGTCTAGGGAGTCGCCTACGCCTACTCCCTAACCCTAACCCTAACAATATCAGATAGTTACCAGGGTACGTTCCGATATATCGAACCGTACCCAGGGTACCCTCCGATAGTACCCTGGGGGACATAGACCCTATGAGCCTCATTGACATATCAATGTATTGTGATACCAACATCGACCAATCACGTATCGATACGTACGACTATTCACAATATCCATATGATATCGATACTCTACTGAATAAAATCCATGTCGTTTGGTAGCCGAGTTTCATCAGAAAACAAATGAAACATGACAAGATTCGCAGTTCAATAGCAGTTGTTTACTAGACGCTCTAAGATACAGATTTGTAGCATATTCACACGATTGGTAGAGTCCCGATTAAGAATACAGTCAGGGTTTCATACGGACAGGTACCTCTGTATACACGGTTTGTATAGTATGCTAGGTAGTTTCTCTTGAAACTATCGCGATACGTATCATATTCTGAAAGGTGTATCCTGACATGGATGACATCGTGACTCACCCGTATCGTAGGATCAGGGCGTCAAGTGAATAGGAAAATAAGAATTTCAGATGGGAAAAAATAGGAGGAAAATAGGAATTTTGATGAGAAAATATATGGTAAATAGGAATATTTTTGGCGTTAGATGGCCTCCCAACACCCCTACAGCCATCCCGATCCACCACAAATGGTTTTAATAATATACATGAGTTACATCACATGCGAACAATATTTTGAGGTTTTAATGAAAAAATTCAAATGCATGTTAAAATTGATTAGCAGTTTATACATGCATAAGCATGCATAATGTATGTATAAGTAAGCATAAGTAAGTAAGTAAGCATAAGTAAGCATATGCATAAGTAAGCATATGCATAAGTAAGCATACATGCATGTAGACTACTCCAAAATAGTAGTGAAATCAGTGAAAAAAATTCACGAGGGCTCGGGGCGATTTAGCCCCCCGAAATGCCAAAAAAGCACCGGAAATAGCAAAAAGAGCCCCCGGAAATTTGCATAGAGTTCAATGCAAACCAAATTTTAGAGTGCTATTTTCATGCACGCGAGCTTGAAAAGTAGCCCCGAAAAATAAATTGTACATTTTTTCCCTGGTAGAGATAATGATTAAAAATAAAGACTAGACATGCACATGATATAAGATTATTCAGAAATTGTGCAATTAATTTGTACTATAAAGCACAAATATGTTAAATAGGAATATGTGTTCATTAGATGGCCTGATGAAATAAAATCTGTGATAGTAAAGAGTATATTACGTTAATTTAAAGTAAGGAGTGGGGGTCTGGGGGTCCTCCCCCGAAGGAAATTTTTGAAAATTGGGTAACCTGAAATGTAAATTCCTGCATTCTGAGAAGGATACATACAATTCTGGATTCAGAAAAATGGAAAGCCCTCAAAAATAAGAAAAAATAGGAATTTGTCCAGAAAATAGGAGAAAATAGGAATTGCCCAGAAAATAGGAAAAAATAGGAATTTGTCCAGAAAATAGGAGAAAATAGGAATTGCCCAGAAAATAGGAAAAAATAGGAAAAAATAGGAACTTGACGCCCTGTAGGATGTACCGTATTCGTGCACGCATTCAAATTCTCTTTTTTCCCTTCGGATGATTCCAATCTGGAACAACCTACCCGTGGGTGTTGTGTAAGCAACGAACGTTGACATTTTTAAGTCAAGGCTTCACTCCCACATGCACGCGAACCCACTTTAAGAGGACACCAGTTCCATTGCACTCACATCATCATTATGCACCTGTTTGTTTATTGGGTTTATCCCTGAAGGCACTTACTACCTTGTCATTATATCCAGTGTAGTGGACACCGACAAGTATGAGAACATAACATAACCGTACGTGCTACACACGGGACATACTCCTCACTGCCGCTCATAGGGTCTATGTCCCCCAGGGTACTATCGGAGGGTACCCTGGCAAGGGCGGATCCAGAGCTGAGAGTATTTTTCCAGATTTTAAGAGCACATCCCCCACAGTGAGCGCCGCTAGGCGCGAAGCACATGGCGGGGGGGCTGGGGGGCCTCCCCCAGGAAATTTCAAAATTTCAAGGGTCCCTGGGCATAAAAATGAGCACCATTTGAGCACACATTTAGTCAAGCAACAATAGCTAAAAACCATATGGAATTTTATTTCTGCTTCATTTTGCCTGCGCTTTGCATACCAGCAATTAATGCAGAATTATTCAAGCACTTCCCTTTTTTTTCAGATATCAAAGCTAGTTTTGTTACCATGTAAAATTTTGATTTCCTTCAAGTCCTGTCAATGAATCAGGAGAAGAAGAAAACAAATAATGAATATAACCAAATTCCATCAAATTGTTTTCTGTATTTTTTGTATTTTTTGTAAATTTTGAAGGGCACTTCGAAATCTAGACCGTATTTCCCAATACGGCAAATACGGTCTGAATCCGCCCTTGGCTGGGTACGGTTCGATATATCGGAACGTACCCTGGTAACTATCTGATATGGCAGGGGCGGATCCAAGAATTTCAAAAAGAAGGGGCACCAAATGAGCAATATGTAGTGAAATGTGGGGGATGATACGGTGAGAGAGCGGAGTGAGGGGGGGGGGCAGGGGCGTGTACAGGATTTGGACCAGGGGGAGAGGGTCTAACCATAACCCATACTTGCGAGCACGGGAAGGGGGGATCTGGGGGGCCCTCACCCCAGAAAAATTTAGAAATTCGACCCCCTCAGATGCGTTTTCTGCGCGAGCAGGGGGGTCCGGACCCCCTGGACCCCCCTCCCCTGTACACGCCCCTGGGGGGAGGGTGTGGAAGGGGGGTTACCCCCTCCCACAATAGGGAGCTTTTGCACTTTTTAGCTTAAAATGGTGCAATCTGGTGCATACTGTAGAGGGTATTTTAACTCATATTGCAGCAAGCATTTATGTGTTAAATTTGAGCAGTGGCGTGACCAGCCTTTCGGTATGGGGCGGAAGGGGGGGGGAGGCAAGACCGTCAAATGTACCGAGAAATTACATTACACTGAAATGTTTTAAACCTTATATATTTCTGACATGATCATGTGGTATTACAGAAGCACATTCACATATCAAATAACTATTGCAGGCTAGAGAAAAATATGGCAATTTCAAAAT